AGGAACATTTACATTGGTATTTAAACCTTTTTAAATATGCTGACATAATCCAAATATTGTGAAGCTTAACTCTGAACGTGGAAAACGCGTTCCCGAGAGAAACAGAGTTATGAAGAAAGGGGTATTGTCATGAGAGCTGTAACAGTTGTTGGGCTGGCAGCGTAGAACGATGGGAACGCCCTCCTTACCCTTGTACTTATACTCGAGTTTTTGCGTCAACTCGTCGCTTCGCTCCCACGCGCTGGTCTTGTTGCGTCCTTGCTAGTATTCCTAGGTTTCAGAGAGTTTCCAACTGCTGTACAAGGGTCACGTGGTGTATGGGCCGCGTTTACAATACGAGGTGCGAGGAGGGGCCGGAAGCGTTAATCGTCTGCAAACGTCTCCGCCTTTTCACATGATTTTCCTCCTCGCTAAGCGACAACGCAGCGCATGCGCATTAGGAACCAACCTGAGCAGGAGGCGTTAGCCATTAAATTGCAAACGCTCTCCATGACTTGACTTGCTCTCTCGCTCAAGCCTAGGCTCTCCTCATCCTTGCTCGTTACGTGGTGTCCAAAGTGAAGGAAGGATGGCCGAGTCGTAAGCGCTTCTGAGGCAGCCTCGGTCATAAAGGGGTTGAAAGCACCAGAGCCGCTCTTCTTTATAGGGAACACTCTTGAAAAATGTAAGCCTTTTGAAGGCCGAGTGAAACTATCGGCGTAACAGCAACGGAACCAGCCACCAAATGAGAGGACGGACAGAAGATTACGATGCTGTTGCTGTAGCACGTCGCCGGAGAACAATCTTTGGAGTTCACGCGTATGTCAACCTGAATGAAGAGCAAACATAGCCAGCCGTCCTAGGGAATTTTCAAACATATCGCTTTCCCGAGAAGAAGGAAAGTTTTGAGCGTTCCGTATTCGGAATGCGGGAGCAAGCATAAAAGTAAGCCGCTTGAGCAATGGCCCTCCTCCAAGGAGAGTTTTGCGCATGCTCGTGTTCACGGCAAACAGTGGTGACATTCTTATTCATACTCCGTTTCACATTAGGTCCGACCGTAGCGAACGCTATGGACCGGTGGGGCTGATTAAGCAGCGCCAAGCGTGTATGCACCTTTTCTACAAGGGCGCAGCCTTCTTGAATGTCGTTACTTCTGTTATGCGGTAAAACATGCTTTTGATCTCTCCACGCCGCTGGAAGGCGTTTACGAAAAATGCATTATTGTCACAAACTCTTGTTTGGCCTCACCCTTTCCGCATTTCCGCAATGGCAGATTCACCTTTACCGTACTAATGGCGGAAATGAACCTGTAGCCTCCAGAATTGTATCGGGCGTCGTCACTTTCGTAAGTCAACGGCAAACTAGAATGTGCTCTTCAGTGTACAGTTCATTCTCGATCTCTATTTGCGTCGATGTCCACAATAATGGGACCAGTCAAAACGAAGTGCCAACCCACACATACATCTTGAAAAAGCGTTTTAAATCAAGGGACTTTGAAGCCGATTGTGTGCTACTAACAGATTGACCAGTCTCGAGTTAGAAATGAACGCTTACTCAGCTCTTGCATTCAATTCCTGCTCCGCAAAGTGCTAACGTCTCGAATCAATAGGCCTCGAATTATCAGCTTAGGAGCATTCTCAACTTCTTCCGTCATAAGTAAACAGAAGGCCGCCATTAGTACGGCACATATATCATTTCTCAGAGGATGATAGTGATCAAAGTGCCCAGATTGAATTTCGGAGAACGTCTATAGCAGACGGACGAAGGCGAAAATGGACGCCGACGCACAGCTTTCATGTCCGCGTCTGGGCATTGCAGACGACTATACCCATTTTCCCCTCAAGCAAAAAGCAAGTTTTGCGCATTGTCCATACGCGGCGCGAAGTAGTTCTAACAAGATTTGGTTGTCAGAGGGAGAAGTCATGCTTTTGGTGTTTGAAATGTGTAGGTCTTGTTAAGACAACATATATCTAATCTAAAATGCACCTACATATATCTCAGTCCTCCACATAAATGGGAAATTAGCAATGCTCCGCGTGGGGCCGGACTTTTTTTATTATGGTTCTTGAGGTGAAAATAAGTATAGAGCCCCGTATATCCGCGGATTACCCGCAGATCATCCGCGGATATGGGCAGTCAACTGGCGGATGCGGATAAAAGTGATTGAGAATTGGCGGATTGCGAATCGGATGCGTATGCCAGGTGCTGCGGATGCGAATCGAATGCGGATATCCTATCGTCCAGCTTTACATTTTTGCCGAGGTGGCCCGAAAGCCTCTGTAACCGCAGAGTGTAGAGTAAACAAGTGAATGAAACTATGATGTGCATCACTAAATGTTTTGCGGGAGCTTAATACTCTCCTATAAAAAGGTGCCAATCAAATTGAAAATTGTTCTTTGGGCCAAAAAATACCTGGCTCTCACCACAGGTCCCCTTAGAGCGTTCTATCTCGCCAAAAATGCTGTTCATGGACAAAGTAAGGAATGCAACAGTCGTCGCGGGAAAGCGTTTTCTTGGTTGGCAGGGAAAGAGCAGAAGACGTTCTTCGGGCATAATAAACCCAAAACGTACAAGTCACAAGAAAGAATAATCCTTCTACCGCGAGAGCGAGGAGTTCCTGTACCTCACTGCTGTTACGCAGTTCGTGGATACCACCCCAGCATCAAGTGCACCAGCGGAGAGAAACTTCTCATGAGCGGGCTTTATAATTCAAGAGAGGGGATATTGTAGGAATTCGTCCATCCTTGACGATTTTCTGTTTTTACACAGCAACCTCTACAGGTGAAACGTAGCATGTGTATGCGTTTTCTTTCCTTTACAGTTGTCAAGTTTCTGTTAAGTATAATGTTCAGAGCACGAAATTTCGGGTTCATTTTTAAAGCTAAAAATAATACGTGTTGACATTATTGAATATTTTGATATTTTGCAAGTGGTGTGCTCGCGTCATACCATGTAATTTGCTGCGGTGAGTAACCGATTTTCACAATTAACTTTTTCATCGTTTTACCTGAATAAAATTACAGAGTGTAATTAGTGAGTTTTTGTAACGCTTCATGCTTGTAAAATACCGGTATTCCTAACATGGGTGCTACAAAGGAAAAAAAGAATGCTTTTTAGCGCATTTTCCGGGCAGTGTGTCGCAGACTTTCCAGACATTTCATAACTGCGATCATATTTCCAGCAACGCGAACTGTCTCTGGAACACATGTGGCAGAAATGCAATTACTGTAATTTAATTACTGTAAATAAATTACTTCCTAGAATAATTTCTAATGTATCTCGTTACTCTCTGATGTAGATAATTTTTGTAATGTAATGAATTACCCTAGTGGCGGTAATCTTAATTAAATTCGCAATTAATATTTGGGTTTTCAGGCATATGTTTTTTTGTTTGCCCGGAACTGGTTACAAGAAGAAGCAGTTCTTGCACGTGCACAAAAAATAAGGAGTCTTTAAGAAATAACGAACAGAAACGACAAATGTGGTTTTCGTCTCTGGGCGCTGGTTCGTGTGATGGTCGGACTAGAGGGTCGTGCCACATAAATCCTCCTGGGTTTATGTTGCTTTGACCAGGAATAGGCTTCCCCGAGCTTGGCTTTTGTCCCCCTTGAAGATTACCTTGCCCCAAAATTGACACAAAGAAAACAGTGTCGCGTTGGGCCCCGGTGCGAGCTGACGACGCTAGGCAGAGTCACGCTAAGGCCTCGGAAACCAACCAAAAAGCCTCCCTTCCTTTATTCGTCTTCCTTCAAAATATTCACATGGGGGCCTGACAACAGGCCGCGATCTTTCTCGAACACGACGCCATAGTTAGTCGTTCCGATCAGGCCTCGTACTCTGACTTCGGCACCCGCCCGCTGGCGGACACGAAACACCGTGAGACTTGAGGCGGCTGCATCCTGTCGGTAACACCACACACAGCCCACAGGAACACTCAATAGCAAGGCAATCCTATATCAGGCGCATCCAGGATCAACCGCAAGCGTAGTAAGTATTTCGGAAAGACGTGAACCCACAAAACTGACAGACAAGGTCAAGTCCGTTTGGTTAGGGCGGGCATGTTGGTATCTCTCTTTGGTTTTGCCCACTGGCAAGGTGTAGAGTTGACGGCTGTTACTTTGCAAATGTAGAGTAAGTTCCTTCGTTCGGTTCAGCTTCCGTTTTAACACTGGACTACCGTCGTTGGCGGCCGCTGAGAGATTGTTCAGCATGGCTATAGACACGTTTTCCTTCAAAAGAGGATCTCTCTCCGGCGAAAGTTTCGAAGCTCAGCTGGTCCCAAGATGTAACAAGAAGTTCTAGTTGGCTCTCCTTGATAGTAACTAACGTTTGATTAAATGTTTGTATGATATTGAATTTTGTATACCTTTTCTTTAAAGATTATGAAAGAGTAATTTGAAAGTATTTTAGTTACTTTTTGCGGTAACTTGTAGTTGTAATTCATTACTTTTGTGTTGTAGTAATTTGCAATTGTAATTCATTACTTTTGTGTTGTGGTAATTTGTAATATCATTTAGATACTTTTCAGCCGGCTTGAGCAAAGTAATTATTAATGTAAAGAATTAACGCTTATAATATAAATACGATAAAATAAAATAAAATGGCTTTCATTGTATTCTGACTTTTGTTATCTTTTTTGTTTAAAAAGATATGCAAACGGCATAAAATGTACCATCCAGATGCCTTTTTCTTTTTTTTTTTTTTAAGGCGAAAGCCTTATACGTCTCATCGTTCAGTCAACCTTTAAAGTCCTTGAGCGAAAACACGTCGGCGACACAAAAACGACGAAAATACGCCAGAAGTGCGTCAAAAATCCGTCGTCAGAGGGCGCGCTGTCTTCGGGGGGTCGCTGTCACGTTTACGTGACCACTCAGGCGAATTAGAGTTAATGAAATCAAGAAGGATGACAAAGCGAATTGAAAGGAATCGAAATGAATTAAGTAAATCATGTATTTGTCTTTAATGCATCGGCGCTTGTTCTTTCCCCTTTAAGTCGTTTTAGGGATAATAAAAGAGACACTGTGGTGTTTTCTTTCTTTTTAATGTTGGCAGATACAATTTATAAAAATCGAAAAACTCACGGAGTATAGTGAATGGACACTTCGTCTTGAATTGGTGCTTTTTGCACTAATGCAGACATCAGGAATAAGAGAACTATGTTGAAATTCGGCCCATACATAATTCAAAATCGACATCCCTGACCTTCATCTCCACACTTTTGTAGCCGTTTTGGTAGGAATCAAAATCGCCTGTTTTGTACCAGGTAATACCAAAGCCCATGTTGTTTTTGGGAATATCACCTTTAAGTTTACGCCCATTAAGATTCGAAAAGCTGCAGCCAAAAGGTGGAAACCACCAGCCACCAGTTTTCAGTGATCCAGAGCAAGGGTCAACCCGATCGGTTTTTTTCGCGACGGAAAACGTGGTTTGGTCGTGGAACGCCAACCCGTCGTAATCGGAACCTGCGCAAGCAAAGTGTGGAGGAATCAATGACGTTGACCACTCCAACATTCTTATACAGGGTGTTTGAAATAAGTTTTACACATTTAACAGCAACAATAAAAAGCCGTGAACACTGCACTATTGCGGTCTGTGTAGGTGAGTTATGCTCCCAGGGGGACATAAAGTAGGGGACTAATCGTCAAGTAGTCGGGTAATTAACTACAATTTGTTGATTACATTTTTAAATGCTAAATATAAACGTATGGTTTCAGTCAGAAACTTGCTGAGTGTCATAAAAATGCAGTAAATCAGTCCATTTTAGAAATACTTTAAGCACGTGGGAATCGGGGGGATGCGCTACATTTACCCGCTCGTGCAACAGGTGCAAGGCTGCGCGGTGCGCGGGTGGAAATATTGACATCTGCCTGTTCTAAGTGTACAAATAAATCCGTGTTTATTTTCACAAAATAAAAAAAGAAAAAGGCAGTAACAAATATTAGTTTTCCGACTTTTCGTGACAATTAGTGACAGGCACTACTGTTATATATCATTATTCTAGAAACAAAAATTGAATAAAATTGCACAAACCCGCCATATTTAGGCCACGCCTTTCCTCAATGATCAAGGCTAAATAATTTTAGGAGAATTATGCCTTTTTTTTTCTTCATACTAATCAAATTCCTCAAGATTGATCCTGAATGGCCCAAGGAACGAATCATTTAGTAAAAAGAAACCATTCACGCTCGAATTATTTGAGAGAGGAGATGCGACTACTTGCTCGTCTAAGCTACATAGCCCATGTTTTCGCTTCTTCGGATAAGCGACTTCTGCGAAATCGGCGGCACCTAGCGGCTAGAATAGGAAGCTGTGGCGGCAGGTTTGCTCGCAAGACGTCTTGGGGGAATCAAATATTCACAGAGTCTATCGGTCTAACGACGAAGCGTGAAAGTAAGTAAAAAAATACGCGATGAAAATCGCCAATAATCGTAGACACTTTTTGTGGCACTTCAGAGGATGTGAAAAGTGCACGTGCAAAGCTTTGATTGGCGTTGTAGGTGCTCGGACGCCCATGCGCAAAAATGTTTGACTGCACTGCCGCAAACAAACTGAAAAAAAAAAAAAATATATATATATATATATATATATATAACGGGCATGGTGGCGGGAGGCCGAAGGCGTGGGTATAAAACTGAGAAGAAAAAAACCCTTAGTGAAAAACAGCAACAACGGACGATTTAATCTTCGACGTTTCGGCCGGAGTCCGGCCTTCGTCAGGAAGAACTTTTACAGATGAACGCGGGTGGTATTTATACAATGATACGGTCGGGTCCAAATTTCGGAGGGGTGACGGTTGAAGCTTTCGAGAGAGGGAAGCGTAGGGCAGTTCTTATCCGGGTGAAGAAGCTTGACGGTCGGTGCCAAGTTTCAAGGACGGCGGGATGACGGTTGTAGCTTCTTGAGAGAGGGCGCAGGGTGACTTTGTGTCCGGGCCGGCAGCGGTGACCTATATAGACGATAGCGTACAATAGACGAAAGTTACACGCGCAAACTAAAGTGCTGTCTCAAAAAAAAAAAAAAAAAAAAAAAAAAAAAGGGGCGGCACGGTCACTTGTGTGCATGCAGGCATGCATGAGTCAAACCTGGAAGGGAACAATGTTAAACCTAGAAGTAAAAAGAAATACAATGGATATCAGAACCTGGAAATAAAAGAAAAGTTGATGGTCCAGTTCCGGCCCCAAACACAGTACCACTGTTAACCACAAAATCTACAAAAAAAAAAAAAAAAAATGTTTTTTGGATTGCTGTTGCTATTCGTCTGTTAGCATTTTAATCGATGCCAGAGTACCGGGGCTTTCATTTATTCCTTGTTTAATAGTGTTAAATCGGTAAATTAGGTAGGATTCACGCTGTTCACGTTCGCGATTTGATTTAAATCCAGATTCTAGGAGCGTCACTGACAATTTATCAAAAGAATGTTTTGGGAGAGCGAGATGTTTGGATAAAGGCAGTGCCGGAAGATTTATGGCGTGAGATTTGTGATTATTAAAGCGCAGTCTAAATGCCGTTCTAGTCTGCCCTATGTATTGCATTTTGCATACCGTACACTCGAATAAGTAAATGACATTCGACGAGGCACATGTTAAGTTCCCTTTAATTTTGATCGAGAACTGCGAGTGCGTGCTGCTGGCCGTGCTTGTGTGCTGCATCTGTTTACAGATTAGACATCCTGGGTGCCTGCAAGGCCTACATTCGTTAGGTGGAGGCGATGAATTTATCCGAGAGTTTACTAGCGCGTCTTTGAGGTTACGCGATCGTCTGTGGACTACCCCCGGGGCGGATGGAAACGCGCGTTTAAGGCGCTCGCTTTGTTCGAGAATGTTATAATGTCGTCTCAAGACATTATTTACATTAGGATGGTTTATGCTATAAGTTAGACATAGATTTGTGCGTTGTGTGGCGCTTTGCGTGGGGCGCGGGCTGATGAGGTCTGCGCGGTTCAGTTGTTTGGCTTTTCTGATTGCATCGTCGATTATACGGGGTGGATACTTTTGCTTCTCTAGCACTGACTTTAAATTTTGACTGCTCGCATCAAAATCTGTCTCTTTTGAACAAATTCGTTTGAAGCGATGAGCTTGGCTATAGGGAATGCTGTTCTTGCAATGGTGTGGGTGGTCGCTTTGATAATGAAGGTATTGCTGCCGATCTGTTGGCTTACGGTACAGGCTCGTGGCGAGTTTACTTTCGTCTATCTTAACGTTGACGTCTAGGAAGTTTATTTCGGTTTGAGAGTACGAATGTGTAAAGCGGATGCTCGGATGAGCAGCATTGTATCGACCTATGAAGTCCACCAGCTCCTCCTCGGTGTGCGACCATACAATAAATATATCATCTATAAACCTTTTGTATATTAGCGGCCTTACGGGACATTCAGAAAGGAACTGAGATTCTAATTTTCCCATGAATATGTTGGCATAGTTCGGGGCCATTTTGGTGCCCATCGCGGTTCCGCTAACCTGCCTAAAGTATTTATTGTTAAATTCGAACGTGTTTAGTTCTAAGACAAGCCTCGCTAGAGTAGCGACGACGTGTCCATCTGGGGTATCCGGTTGTTTGTGGAGTTCGTACATGTTAATTAAAGAGAGTATTCCATCATCATGTGGAATATTCGTATACAGCGATGACACATCGAGTGTAACGAGATATGATTCTTTTGGTATGCATAAATTTGATATTTCTCTTAAGAAGTGAGTTGTGTCTTTAATGTACGAATCAAGAATTGTAGGTATATGTTTAATTAAACTGTCTACATATCCTGATATGGGTTCGGTTACTGTACCTATTCCGGATATGATTGGACGCCCTGGGTTACCAGGTTTGTGAATCTTAGGGAGCATGTAGAAGCGGCCCGGAGAAGGCTGTACCGGTTTCATTAATTTATGTTCGTTAGCAGTTATTCTGCCCTCATCTAGGAGATCCTTAAGAACCGAGGTCACAATCTGAGTGTGGTGCACCGTAGGGTCATCCGCGAGAGGTTCATAAAACTTTGAGTCATTTAGTTGGCGGTTTCCTTCTCGGATGTATTCAGAAGTGCTAAGAATCACAATTGCTCCTCCTTTATCGGCTGGTTTTATTGTTATGTCTGTCCTATTGCTCAGGGTTTTTAAGCTAGCCCGTTCGGATTTAGTGAGGTTATCCCGTCTTCCCGCTTGCCTGCGATATTCCCGCATTATGTCTTTTTGCACAGCGGCTATGTATAAGTCAAGACAATCATCACGGTTAGCTTTTGGCGTCCAGTCACTCGTTGCACGCTGCTGAGAGGTATTGGAGCTAGAAGTTTTGTCAAGGTTTAACATTGTTCCCTTCCAGGTTTGACTCATGCATGCCTGCATGCACACAAGTGACCGTGCCGCCCTTTTTTTTTTTTTTTTTTTTTTTTTGAGACAGCATTTTAGTTTGCGCGTGTAACTTTCGTCTATTGTACGCTATCGTCTATATAGGTCACCGCTGCCGGCCCGGACACAAAGTCACCCTGCGCCCTCTCTCAAGAAGCTACAACCGTCATCCCGCCGTCCTTGAAACTTGGCACCGACCGTCAAGCTTCTTCACCCGGATAAGAACTGCCCTACGCTTCCCTCTCTCGAAAGCTTCAACCGTCACCCCTCCGAAATTTGGACCCGACCGTATCATTGTATAAATAACACCCGCGTTCATCTGTAAAAGTTCTTCCTGACGAAGGCCGGACTCCGGCCGAAACGTCGAAGATTAAATCGTCCGTTGTTGCTGTTTTTCACTAAGGGTTTTTTTCTTCTCAGTTATATATATATATATATATATATATATATATATATATATATATATATATATATATATATATATGGGTGGTTTCATCTCAAATCGCGCAGGAAAAAAGGGTCGAATTTTTAATTTTGATGAAAAAAATATATGTTATGGCGCCGTTTCTAAAACCGCAGTCGCCACAAACCGCAAGTTCGTCGGAATTTTTGTTCTCGATTTATAAATTTTTAAAGAGGCCGCGGCGAAAAGCAGTGTTTTTCACAGCCGTCGTGGGTCGGATGTTTCGCTTGATCTACCGCCGTGGATTTTCAGTCCACATTAAATTAACTTTTTTCAAGCTCTCTGTGGACACATTTAAAAGGCTCCAATATCATAAAATAATTTTAGGCGTTTTTCTTTTTTTCTGTAAAAATGTCAAAAACGCCCCCTTGGTCAATTGTTGACGAACTTTGACAATTAATTACTGGTGATCTACTTGGGTTACATCGATATTTTTTATTTCCACAAAATGACTCGGCTGTATAAAATATCCTTTGCGGTACGTTTACGTTAACGTTATGTGACAACCAAAAAGTACCATTTTTTAAATTGATTTTCTCAAGAAAACCATCTTTTATTTTTTTTATTATTTTCCGTTAAAATGTACATGTGATAGTTTTCTACACAAAAATCAAGTCGAGAAAGTGTGTATTTTGATTGTATGTTCTATATTTAAGCATCAATA